AAAACACTCAGTATACAGAATTGTGTATGTATGTGTGTGTGTTTGTGTGAGTGTGAGTGTGAGTGAGTGTAACAGTGTGTCTGTGGGCATTGAATTGCATGTTCATTTGACAAATGAGCAAACCTATCCCCCCTGCCCCTCCTCTTTCTGCTGATTTCAGAAACTGATTTCGGTTCTAATTATAGATTCTGAAATTATTGTGTGTGTGTATGTATGTGTGTGTGTGTGTGTGTAAGTGTGTATCTATATCTGTGTGTGTAAGTTTATTTAAGAATTTGATTCCAGTTCTAATTATTGAGAGTGTATGTGTGTGTGTGTGTGTGTGTTTAAGGAGGTGCATATTCACAAATGATGAGCAACAACGAACAAGTTGAGAGTCAATCAAGTACCATCACAAATGTGCCAACTACTCCTACAATAGTAGTTTCTCCTAGAGTAGCACCTTTGATCACTTCTGGAGGAACAAAAGAATGACATCCAATATGCCCCAATGAGTTGAAACCAGCTATAGGGATGAAGTTTAATAATCTTGAAGAGGGCCTTGAATTTTATAAAGGCTATGCATTTGCTTCTGGTTTCAATACAAGGAAGTCTACAACTAAAAGACAAAGAAGAAGCAAAGAATTGAAATATCAGTATATCTTGTGCAATAAGGAAGGATACAAAGAGAGAAGAAAGACTACTGTAGAAAAAAAAAATTAAATAACAAGGAAGGGGAAAACAATGAAGAAAAAGCTTCAATTAAAAGGAAGAGACTCGTTACTCGTGTTGGGTGCAAGGCACATATTGTCCTAAAGCATTGTGATTATAACACATTCATAGTGACACAATTTCATGAGGGACATACTCATGCACTTTATACACCTAGCTGCAATCTATTCCAAAAAGAATTCTCTTATGTTTCATCAATTCTATGTATGTTCTAATAAAAGTTGTTTGCTCATTTGCCAAATGAGCATTGAATTGTTTCATGAATTCTCTTATGTTTCAAATTCTCTTATGTTTCATGAATTCTCTATATGTTCTAATAAAAGTTGTTTGCTCATTTGACAAATGTGCAAATAATTTTTTTCTCATTTGACAAATGAGCATTGAATTGTTTGCTCATTTTAAAAACGAGCATTGAATTATTTGCTCATGTGATAAACTGTTTTGTTCTTTAAATAAGTGAATATTGGTCCCGTTACAAATTTTCAAATGATGAAGGAAATTGTTGGAGGATATGAAAACATTGGTGCATCTAAGGAAGATTTCAAAAATCTTCATAGAGATTTAAAAGCATACATTCAAGGAAGCGATGCTCAAATGTTCGTGGATAACTTTACCAACAAAAAGCTAATGTGGAGCGCTTTTTTCTTTGATTTTGAGATGGATGAAGATTATTGCCTTTGTAGAGCATTGTGGGCAGACCCCCTTTGTAAAAAGAGTTATGCTCTATTTGGTGATATGGTATCCTTTGATACCACATACCAAACCAATAGGTAATTCATTTATGTGTTATTACTAGCTATGGCTTAAATTAATGACTTTGTTTTAAATAAAATTAGTTTAATTGCTCATTACTTCTATGTGAAAATTGAATATCCCCATAAGTATAATATTCTTTGATAAGAGTATGTATATGGGCATTGAATTGCATGTTCATTTGACAAATGAGCATTGAATTATTTGCTCATTTGACAAATGAGCATTGAATTGTTTTCTCATTTCACAAATGAGCATTGAGTTATTTGCTCATATGACAAATGAGCATTCAATTATTTGCACATTTGACAAAAGAGCAAAGAATTGTTTGCTTATTTCACAAATAAGCATTGAGTTATTTGCTCATTTGACAAATGAGCAATTGATTATTTGATAATTTCCAAATGAGTATTAAATTATTTGCTCATTTAAACTTTATTTTGTATGTGTAAACAGGTACAACATGGTGTTTACTCCATTTATAAGGGTTGACCATCATAAGAATTGCATTAATTTTGTTGTTGGTTTCATAGCAAAGGAAGATATCGTGTCATTTGAATGAATGTTCAGATCATTGCTCAAGGCAATGGGTGGGAATGAACCTAATTATATGATCACAGATCAGGATCCAACAATGAAAATTGCTGTTAGAAGTGTGTTTACGAAAACTAAACATCGGTTCTGTATGTGGCACATAATGAAAAGGTTACCAGATAAGGTAGAGAAATCAATCATGCAAGAAGAAACTGGTTTCCTAAAAAAATTATGTGCTTGCGTTTGGCACCTTAAAATTGAACCCGCTGAGTTTGAAGAAAGGTGGAACAAGGTTATGATTGAATACCACTTGGAACAACATGAGTGGTTAGGTTATATGTACAAGATAAGAGACTAGTGGATTCCGGCCTATTTCAGAGATGTGTTCCTTGGAGGAATAATGCGTACAACATCAAGATCCGAAAGTGAAAACAACTTTTTCTGCTCCTTTATCAATCCTCATGTGTCACTTGTTGAGTTTTATTTGAGATATGAAGCTGCAATTTATGCCCAGAGACACACTCAAGGTCAGAATGATAATGATTCAAAGCACAAATATCCTGAGTGCAAAACACCACTAGGGATAGAAAAACATGCCTCACATTTTTATACTAACTCTGTCTTTTATGAATTTCAATACGAGGTTGAAATTGCTTGTTTTTCTTGTGGTGTCAATGAATTGAAGAAAGAAAATGAATAGGAAGTTGCAACAGTAAGTGAAGGAAATCGGACTAGAACATTTGAGGTTGTGTTTAATCCAACTAACTATGACACCACATGTTCTTGCAAGCTATTTTATAGGCAAGGAATTCCATGTAGACATATGATTTGGGTTTGGAAAGCAAAAAGGTTTGAAACCATTCCTGAGCAGTATATGCTACACAGGTGGACTACTATGGCATTAAAGAAACCAATTTTTGACTTTGGAGGAAACCTGTTGGAGCAATGTGCTAATATAATAGACAAGAAAAAATTGTTAAATGATTTATGGTCAGAGATACACACTTGTGTAAGTTTGGCAGAAGGCAAAGATGAAGATATTCAAGACCTTGTGATAAATCTTCAAGGAATAAGAAAGGATTTGGAAGCAAAGAGGATTGCAAGAAATAATGAAACAACAGCTGGAAGTGCAAAAAACAAAGAGCAATACATTGAGCTATTGATTGGAGCTAGTGTGACAACTGAAATAATTGTCAAACCTCCAAAAGTTTCAAAGAATAAAGGGACTGGAGTTCATGTATCAAATGAAGAGACTTCAAAAAAGAAAGCGACTGAGATTGATGTGTCAAATGTTGAAACAAGAGGTAGAAGTGCAAAAAGGCTTAAGGGAGAAAAAGAAAAGGTTGTAGAACAAAACCAAAAAAAGAAGAGATTATGTAGAGGTTGTGGTGAATTGAGTCATCATGATATTAGAAATTGTCCAAAAAAAGTGTAATGGTACTTTTATATACAAATAAGATTTTGTTGAATTTTTATATTTAATAATATATTATTAATTTTGTACTAATCATAGTTTAATGCTTTGCAATATTGTTGAATTGAAAATAGAACATATTCAAATGAGTGATTAAATATTTGTTCATTTCTCAAATGAGCAATAATTCCTTGCTCATTTATCAAATGAGCAAATAGTTAACTACTCATTTTGTCAAATGAGTAAATAATTATTTGCTCATTTGGCAAGTGAGCAAATTAGCTATTATATGAACTTGGAACAATTGCACTCTTGTTTCATCTCCCAGTCCAAAATCAGCTCTCCTCAGGTCAAATGAGCAAACATATCTTTTCTCAATCATCAAATGAGCAAGTAATTCCTTGCTCATTTAGCAAATAATCAAAAGGGTAAATGCTCATTTCTTAAATGAGCAAAAATAGTTGCTCATTTTTGAAATGAGCAAACATTTATTTACTCATTTATCAAATGTGCAAGAAATTCTTTGAACATTTATCAAATGAGCAAGAATTCATTGATCTATCATTTAATGAGCAAGCATCTGTTTGCTCATTTAACAAATGAACGAATATTTCAAATGAACACTGGTTGTATATAACAAGGTATGTGAAGTAAAAACAAACAAAAGATTGAATTTTAATTCAAATATAATCATCACTATAATAAAAAAGGGTAGGCTTATGTTGGTAAAACTTGTTTATAAATCAGTTTTACATCATTCAAGACTACTTAAAAGTAGATAAAATCTTAATTTACCCAATTCCCTAAACCAAAAAAGACAAATCATCACTACTAACTATTTAATTCCCTAACATTCAGCTTTCTTCAGTCTTTTGCTCTTTCTTCATTGAACTTTTTCTTCTTCAAGCTCTTCTTTTTCAGCAGGAATTAATAAACATGATAACTTTATACAACTATCTCCGTCCCTATTTGATAGTTACTTTCGAGCAATCTTTTCACAGGAATTAATAAACATGAATAAGAAGTAGCAAAAGTACATTGAAAATGTAAATTTACATTGGGTATGCAAAAAAGTAGAGAGAGAAACTAATTAAAGTACATGAGAAAACAAAATTTACATGGAAAAATTAAATTTGCACAAATATTTTTGCAAATTGGAGAGAATTTTGGTAAAAACTTAATATTAATGACACTTGAAAAAAATAAATGTGACTAACATTTTAGGGCACCAAAAATGGAATAAGCACTAGGTGAAAAAACGTAATTGGCACCGGTTCAAACCCCCTCAATGCCACCGGTTTGAACCGGTGCCAATGTGGGGGTGCCAAATACTTGGGTGAAAAGCCACTGGTTCAAACCGGTGGCAAAAATAATTATTGGCACCGGTTAACCGGTGCCAAGAATAAATCCAGAAATTTTTTTAATTACTTTTGACACCGGTTAACCGGTGCCAAAAACCCCCCAAATATTATTATTTTTTTATTTTTTTTATTTTTTTTTTACATTATTGGTATTTTGTTACACATAAAATTATTTGGGTATTTGGTATTAAAGTATACGAATCTAGTAATTTTATTGTACAGATAAATTACAAAATGTAAATCGAATATCAATCAATATAGATAAATTACAACATATAAATTTAAAAAAAAAATTACAGTATAAATCCAAAAAAAAAATTACAGTATAAATCAAAAAAAAAATTACAGCATAAATCAAAAAAAAAATTACAACATCACAATAAAACTTGCATCTTGATTCTTGCATCAATATACCTGCACCAATTACAACAAAAAAAAAACGATTAAAATAATTACTCGAAACCCCCAGATTCCCTTAAAAAAAATCGAAACACTGAGAAAAAAACATCAAACACCCAGGAAATAAAAATAAAAATCGATTAAAAAAAAAGAAAAAATAAAAACAAGAACAAAAACCCAGAAAATAAAGAAATCGTGTAAAATAAAGAAAAAACCCAGAAAATAAAAAACAAAAATCGATTAAAATAAAACAAAACCCAGAAAATATAAAAAAAAAACGAATTAAAATCACTTAAAATAAAAAAATAACCGATTAAAATTAAAAAAACCCAGAAAAAAAAAACGAATTTAAATCATTTAAAATAAAAAAAAGACGATTAAAAAATCGATTCAGACAAAAACCAAGAAAATAAAAAACAAAAACGAAATAAAATCGATTAACATAAAAAAAACATCGATTAAACTAAAAAAACCAGAAAAAAAAAAACGAATTAATATGTATTAACGTAAAAAAAATCGATTTAAAAAACCGATTAAAACAACAACCAAGAAAAAATAAAAAAGAAAACGGAATAAAATCGATTAAACCTCGAATTGGTGGCGGTCTTCGATTAAAATGGTGTTGCATGTGGTGGTCTTCGATTAAAATGAACTTTGTGGTGGTGAAAGTTTTGGTCTTCGAATCAAAGAAAGAAGGAGGACATCGTGGTGGTGAAAGTGATGTTCTTAGCTTCGTGGTGGAGAAGGAGGTGAGGGAGAAGGAGATCGAGAAAGAGAAAGATAGAGAAGGAGGAGTTAGGGGAGCAGGAGAAAGAAGGAGGAGGAGAGGAGAGAGAAACGGCGAGAGAAAGAGGAGGAGAGGAGAGAGAAAGAGGGGAATGAAGAATTAGGGTTAGGGGAATGAGGAGAGCCGCGTTTTTTTTAGTAAATATAAGGCCGGTTCACAAGGGCACCGGTTCAAACCGATGGCCTTTATGTTTTTGGCACCGGTTTGATTTGAACCGGTGCCTTTTACTCTGTTTTAGCTTCCCTGTTTTTAAAAATCAATTAGGGGGTGCCTTTTACTCTGTTTTAGCTTCCTTGTTAACAACATTTTTAACTACGGTTTGGACTGAACCAGTGGCAATTAGGGGGTGCCTTTTTGATATTTTCTACTAGTGAAGTGACTATCAAATAGGGACAGAGGGATTATATTTTATCACTTCTCCCTCTTACTTTAAACCCTATATAAAATATTTTATTATTTCTCTCTATTCAATGGTCCCCACTTAAATAATAAGAATATATACTCTCTCACATACTTTCTCTTTCATGGCCACCATTTTACCTTTTCTATAATAATTTATAACCCACTCACAATACTCCGTATTATATTACTCTCCCAAAACTTTGTGTAAACCCAAGTGATGTAAAAAATAAAAATAAAATGGAGGGAGTATTTTTTATTTTTTTTTACCAAATTATCTTTATTCTCCAAATTTATTTCCCAAAATGTCCCCAAATTGTTAACATTTCATTTTTGCTTTTGGCATTTAATGGTTGCACATAATATCTTGGTCCTTTTATTTTCATTTTTCTTCTTAAATTTTTATTCCACCATTTGAACAATTACAATCCATGTGCAGCATATTAAATGAATTTGATTGGTTCTTTTATTTTTGTATAAACAAATGTAATTGATCCTTTTTATTCTTAAAAGATTGCTGACATGTACAAGCATTTAATGTCATTTTTTTTGTTTTATTCAAAGACAATAATAAGGGCATGTTATCATACGTTGAAATTCAGTTCAGTTTATGTCTAATGGTATTGCTGATGATATAAAGCCAAATTTCATTCTTTTAAGCTCTTATTACAACGACGATAATAATTTCATTCTTTTAAGATCTTATAATAATAATAATAATAATAATAATAATAATAATAATAATAATAATAATAATAATAATAATAATACAATTCATTGTTCAAATGGTTTTATTTTTTTGATACACATTTCTACTGTTAAACTCATCATTGAGAAAATTAGAGTACTACACAACTTAAACTAATTTTCATAATCGGTTAGTTCTTCGTCTTCTTCTTGTCCACCAAGCTCCTCCATTACCTCGGCAATCCTCTGAACTGACTCCTATATCTGATCAGTTATGTCTTGTCGTACAATATCCATAGCTGCTTTTCTGTTAGGATCGTACATAGTATGATCTTCTCTTCGCTCCATGACTTCAACTTGGTGCGTGAATGGAATCCCTAGTTCATGTAAACGAATAAAATTGTGTAGAGTACAACAAGCAACGATTATTTGCAACGGAAAACGTAATTTTATTTTATTTTTATATTTTATTTTTAAAAAAATTTAAACAACAAAGTGTTTTGTGTTCTTTTGTCATAATACTATTTTATTTTTAAATTATATAGTATATGTGTTTAAAATGTTTTGGGGTTTCATGTTTATAATATATTTTCCATAAATATTATAATTATAAAGTATATTTTTCATAAATATTTTAATATGTACATATGTATATACACATATGTATAAGTTATAAATAATCAATAAATAATCAAAGATCACTAATCCGTAGTTAAAAATCACTAATTACTAAGTTCAGTTCAGCTGATTTCAGTCAATGAGAACAGACCCTAAATGTCTTTTAATTCCTTTTGTACTTCCCAATTATAGATTTTAAGGATACTCCAAGTTCCTTAATTCCTGTGTAAATTTAGAAGTAGACATTTAGTTTAGGGATGGAGGGAGTAGAAATTTACAAAATACAGAGTAACTACAAGTGTTGTAATTAATAAAAAACGGAGAATATAATACAAAAAAATACTCGTAAAAAATGATTTTAAATAGGGTAATGTTATATGCACCCTTTAGTTGAATATAAGCATTTAATATATTTCTTTTTTTTAGTATTCCGTATTAAGTTGGGAATTAATCGACAATTCACGAATTCACGAGTAAATAGGAGTATTTTATTTTAATTTTTCTCTTTTCATTTTAGCTTCTTATTTAAGGACTGTATATATCTTTTTTCTCTTAAATAATTTTTTTTAGAAAATTAAATAAGCCCTTGTTCATAGGAAATGGTGAAACGAAGAGAAGAGAAAAAGAAAAGACGCGCTCTTCTCACTCTCTCTCTCTCTCTCTCTTTTTTTTCACTCACAACTTTTTCATTTTCCTTCTTCTTCTACTGCTTCGTGCTTCCCTCTTCTCTTTCTCTCTCTTCTTTCTTCTACTACTACTAGATCTCTCAACTCTTAACCCCTCTTCTTTCTCTCTCTACTTCTACTAGATCTCTTAACTCCCTTCTTCGTCTCTCTCTCTACTCATATGCGATCTCTCTCTTTGCTGCTGTAGCTTCACAAAAACTATATTAATTAATAAAGGTAACTTTTTTGTCTTCCTTTGATTTTTTCCCCATTTTTTTAAAATCAAATTTATCATCCCTTTGATCATTGGTTTTTTCTACTTGGATAGTTTATTTCAGTTGTTTACTTGTCTAATTTTTATTATACTTGGACCAATTTTTTCTGGGTTTTATTTGAATTAATGGGTTTGATTTGTTCTTTGCTCTACTTGCATGTATTTGATTTTTTTATTGTTTATTCTTGCTTTTTTGTAATTTCTCCAATTAATTAATTTCTGTTAATTTAATTTTTTCTGTTTTTTTGGGTTGGATTAATTTATTAAAATATGATGTGGGGTTTTATGGTTTTCCCTGTTTTTTCTCTAATCTTTTGACTTTGGTCCTGTTTTTGTGAAAATCAGAAGTTTCTGTTGCTTTTTGTGATGTTTGCTGAGTGTTTCAACTTTTTTTAGGGAAAATTAATTAGAACCCCATTTCATTTTTGGGCCAATAAGCTTTATTTTATTGCATGTTCATCCGAATTTGAGTATTGAAGTATGCTTGTGTTTGTGACCAAAACCCTTAAATTTTATTTTTCTAATTTTTGGTTGATAAAAAGTATTAGGCATAGTGTTTTGGATTTGGTTTGGGTTTTAAATTTTAGGGCTTATGAATTTTTCCGATTATAGAATTTGGTCACATACCCATGAATTCATCAATTTGAATAGTTGATGAATAGTACAGTTTCAGTAGGATTTATTGCATGTGACCCACTGTCTGAAATGAGTGTAATTGATAGCAAGATGAGGTGAAACCCTAAACTAGAAAAGCTATTTGTTTTGCTGCAAAGTTTGCCTTTTGCTTTTTCTTTGAATGTTTTATGTTCATGATTGTGGATCAATTTGTTGATGCCTGCATATTTGGAGGGGGAAGAAGGGGCGCAGGGTTGCTTTTGATTGTTTATTAATATTTCGGATTTTTGCGATATACTAATTATCCATCTGCTCTTGTTCTTACATGTATGTACATGACTTGTGAGACATTCTTGTGGGATAAAGTTTGTTCCTGAAATAATTCTTAGAATTCATTGTTTTGGTGATGTTTCATAATCTCCATATGTGGATGAAAATAGGTTCATTTGCTTGAAGCACTCGGCTTTTACTTTTTCTCTGTGTTTCTCTCCATGCTTCCGAGTACATGGGTTTGATGTTTAATTATGGTTGTGATTTATATTGTTACAGATGGAGGTCTAGATAGTCATATCATGCGCTGTAAAGTTGGGTGATTGGAACCTGTTGAATTCTGGCCTGCATTTCCTTCTCTTTATTAGTTGACTTCTGTCAAAGACATGAATAACTTGACTGTTGAGACCTTAGATACATTTTCAAGCCTGCTTGAAGTTTCTGCAAATAATGATGTGGAAGCATTTAAACGGTTGATTGAAGATGATCCGGCTGGAATTGATGAGCCTGGGTTGTGGTATGTCCGGAAAAAAGGCTCGAAACAGATGGTCTATGAGCATAGAACTCCTTTGATGGTTGCTTCAATTTACGGCAGTATGGATGTTCTGAAATTGATTATTTCTCTCTCCGTTACTGATGTTAACCGGTCATGTGGTGAGGATAAAAGCACTGCACTACACTGTGCTGCATCTGGTGGTTCTGTGAATGCTGTTGATGTTGTGAGGTTGCTTCTGGAGGCAGGTGCTGATCATAATGCACTAGATGCCAATGGAAATCGACCTTTTGATGTTATTATGGTCTCACCGAGGCAAAATGATGTCAAAAGTGCTCTTGAAGAACTCCTAGCTGGTCATGGCTCTATTAGTGAGCGCATTTTGAGGCTGCCAAGCGCCACTTCTAATTCAAACTCACCACCACTCTCATCTTCACCAGTAAACGGATCTCCGTCATCTTATTCAGACTCACCACCTTCACCAATTAACTCAAAGTTTGATGATATCCAAGCTACATCTTACGCAGCTGAGAAGAAAGAATACCCCATTGATCCATCCATACCTGATATTAAGAACAGCATTTATGCAACTGATGAATTCCGTATGTACTCCTTCAAGATCCGTCCTTGTTCTCGTGCCTATTCTCATGATTGGACAGAATGCCCTTTTGTTCATCCTGGTGAAAATGCTAGGAGGAGAGATCCGCGGAAGTACCATTACAGCTGTGTTCCTTGTCCTGATTTTCGAAAAGGAGCTTGTAGAAGGGGGGATATGTGTGAATATGCTCATGGGGTTTTTGAGTGTTGGCTCCATCCAGCTCAATATAGAACACGTCTCTGCAAGGATGGCCCAAGTTGCGCTAGAAGAGTTTGTTTCTTTGCTCATATACCTGAAGAACTGAGACCTCTTTATGTGTCTACTGGTTCTGCTGTTCCCTCACCCCGCTCAAGCGCTTCTAGTTCTATGGATTTTGCTGCTGCTATGAACTTTATGCCAGGATCTCCCTCATCTCTTATGTCTCCTTCTGCTTTCACTCCATCAATGTCACCTTCAGCTGCTAATGGAATTTCTCATTCTTCCTTGGCTTGGCCACAGCCAAATGTTCCGTCTTTGCGTCTTCCAGGCAGCAATCTTCAGTCCAGTAGGTTAAGGTCATCTCTTAATGCAAGAGATATTGCAGCTGAAGAGTTTGATAATATGCTGCAAGATTATGACTTGCAACAACAGCAACAGCTCCTGAGTGAATTTTCTTGCCTTTCTATGACCCCTAATTCTTTAAACCGCTCTAACCGCTCAAAAACTCTGAACCCTTCTAACCTGGATGATCTTTTTTCTGCTGAGAGCTTGTCTCCGCGGTACAATGATCAAGGACTGGGTTCATGTCTTTACTCGCCTACTCATAAATCTGCTGTTTTCAACCAGTTTCAACAGCAGCAGCAAAGCATGCTCTCTCCAATCAATACAAATTTCTCCCCTAAGGGTGTTGCTGACCATCCATTATTGTCAGGAAGAATGTCTCCTCGAAGTGTGGAACCCATCTCCCCAATGAGTGCTCGGGCTTCTATGCTTGCTCAACGGGAGCAACAGCTTCATCAGTTCCGCAGTCTTAGCTCTCGGGATCTTGGAACCAGCTTGGGTGCCATTGTGGGCTCTCCTGTTCATTCTTGGTCAAGATGGGGTTCCTCCAACGGTAAGCCAGACTGGGGTACAAACACAGAGGAATTGGGTAAACTCAGGAGATCTTCTTCCTTTGAGCTTGGCAACAATGGTGAAGAGCCTGATCTTTCTTGGGTTCAGTCACTTGTCAAAGAATCACCTACTGACATTAAAGAGAAGGTTGGAGGTTCCGTTTCATCAGTGGTTGACAGTTCTTATTCGAATGCACAAGCTGAAGTAGTGGATATGGCAGAAAGATATTAATTAATGAATAATATTACTTGTCCTTTGCTTTCTGGATTTTGATTGGTAGCAACGAGGCAAGATATAGGTAGCAGAAAGAATGGAGCAAGGTAAGCAGATAGAAGTATGCTATTTTTTTTTTCCTATTTTGTTAGTTGAATGATATTCATTCTGACTATTCTTGCTAATGTAGTTAGAAAGGGTAAAATCTTGTTGCACCATGTTTCTTATGAACCAGGGTGCTTCTCGGCCATTATTTTGAAAGGCTTGGCCTTGGCCTAGTCGATTTTGCTTTGTATGCTTAGCAATATGTTTCATTAAAGAAACTATATATCTCATGTATCTTCCATCTCTTTTCCATTGAATTCATTGCCTCATTCTGTAAACCATTAACATGGTGCTATTTTTGTACATCTTCATTGCAATTGATTTCTTTCCTATTGACAAATTAAAATTTTCTTTTCTTTATACTTTGGTATAATTTGGCTATCTTGTGAAATAATTGTCTTCTCTCATATTTCTTTTGGTCAAACAATTTCTAATCCTGATTAAATTACAAAATCTCATTAGCTTGGTTAATCTAATCTTTCAACCAGTAGTTACATGAAGTACTATATTGTTTGGAATTTATCATTTCAGTTTAGTCACGTCTTCTTGGATGAAATAGGATTTGTTACATGTTGGGATGTTATACGGTGTGTTTATCTCTAATTTTTTCGAGGAGGTTTCAATACGCGATCATATAGATAAACTTCGAGATAGATGGTGCCTTTTGTTGTTGCCTTTTTACAATCACTTTGGTAATGGATAGCATAGTTAAATGCTGAGAATTTATTGAGGTGATAGTTGTTCACTATTGAGGTAGAATTATTCTACTACTATCTTAACTTGCACCTTTATAAAAAGGGATATGAAAAAAAGAAGGGTAGAAAAACGTTGGCTCTAAATCGTTCTCTAGTCTCATTACTTCATTCCTTTTGTGAAAAGAAACCACTAATTTTATAGTATCATTGCATCTATTTCAACTCTTTTACTTTCGGTGCTGAAATGTTTTTCTCATTGTTATTTTCTTTGTTTATTTTAATTTCAATATTCGGATAAAACGAACCTTTTTCGTTTTTTTTTTGACATGTACCAACATTTTACTGTCTTCCATTTTTCTACTATTTCCCAAAGTATTATATCCTCTTTTCTACTATGTATATTTTTAATATCACACTTTTTTTTATCTCACAAGTTTGACAAGTGATGTTTAAGCATTTAAAACATTTCCTAAAATGGTATTAATGGGAGTACATGTCAAAATTACGTGTCGATTGATGTTATTAATGTTCATTTTAATTTGATGATTCTTACTTTTAGTTATCTTAATCAATGCCCTTGGGACGTTCGTTAACTTTTGCCTATTTGCAATCATCAATAAGTGAAATTATTTAAAGTTGATATTATGAAAATATAAATTGAGACGCACAAGATTCAACATTATTATTTTTTTTATCGTAAAGATACATCACTAAAGCTAGTCAAAGTTAAATTTTTGAAAAATGTTAAAAGTCAAAGTGTGTAAAATAAAGACAATGAAAATAATACTCCCTCCATCTCTTTTTGTTTGTCACTTTTTACAGGAAAATCACGGGAATTAAGGTGAAGTAATGAAAGTATAATTTTCAATTAATAAAGTAATAAAAGTGCATGGGAAAGAGACATTTTCAATTAAAAAATAATTAAAGTACATGGGAAAGATAAATTGATAGATTCAAGAGTGTAAATACTCCCTCCATTTTTAAATACTTGTTCCATTTTTCCATGCGTGGAGTTTTACGAGAAATTGGAGAAAGTAATAAAATATAGAGATAGTGAGGTTAGTGGAAGGTAAATTGGAGGAGAGAGAACCTAAAAGTAGTAAAATTGGGTCTCACTAGTTGTGAGAATGAATTAAATATTATAAAAGCTTTCCAAATAAGGAAATGGAGCAAATACTTAAATACGGCCGCACAAGGAAAGTGAAGCAAGTATTCAAAAACGGATGGAGTATTAAATTAATCAACAGTTGACGCATTTTTATGACAAATGTTAGGGTAAAATGGGAAGATGACTTAATAAGGACAAAAAATAAGGGTATAAAAATCATTTTATGTATCTTAATAATTATGAAAATGTGTGTTTCAAAAAAAAAAATTTATGAAAATGTGAAATGTGACCGCATTCAAAATGACAAAATTGAGAATCAAATAAAGACAGACTTCGTATTCTCGTTCTCTTTGTAGTATAAACATACTGTAGCATAAACATATTGTACCTAGTCTCCTAGAATTTGGTGCACTTAAGGTTATATTATGCTCATTTGGTTATTTCTAATTGAATGAAGAAATTAGCCTTTTGAACTACACTCCGATTTAGAATGGATTTTACATTATTTTAAAATAGAGCATCCAAAAATAGGAAATTTGGCTTAAAATAATACGAACTATCAACGGTGTGTGCAAAATAATACGAACTCAACTATTTGCTATTAACGGTACCACCTTTTATACTATATGTGGAAAATAGTACGAAAGTCACCAAAAACGTATTTTGAGTAATATTCCATCTATATTTATTACTATTATTTTATTAATTTTTTTTTAAAATACATATTGTATTAATAATTTCCTTTACAATCAAATTAATAATGCATGCCCCACTCCTTTGTTAGTTTTTTTTTTTTTTTTTTTTTTTTTTTTTTTTTTTAAAAATTGTTAATATGTATTTAAATAATTTATTTCAAAATACATGTAGTGATTATTTCTACTACTAGACTACCACACAATAGTAAATAGGGTATTTTTAATTTAATTAGTTTCAAAAAATGTTTTAAAAATCCAAAAAATTCCCTACATTATTATGGTTGGTGGATGTGGGAAAATTTCGGATATTTTGAAACTAATTATATCAACATAATAATAAGGCATTTAAATATTCTATTTACTATTGTGTGATGTAGAAATTACTATATGTATTATGAAAAAAAAAAATTAATTACATATTGATTTTTAACAAAAGGGTGGGGCATTATTAATTTGGATTGTAAAGAAAATTGTTAACGTAATACTATGTATTTTGAAAAGAAAACAGAAAATTAATATAAAAAATAATAATAAATTATAAAGATAGATGGAATATTCATCAAAATACATTTTAGGAGATTGATGTACTATTTTGCACATATAGTATAAAAAGGTAGTGCCACTAATAACAAATAGTTGAGATTGTATTATTTTGCACACACCGTTGATAGTTGGTATTATTTTAAGCCAATTTTCCCCCAAAAATATTATGATTATATCATTTTCGTAGGGGAAAAACCCCAACATTTTATGCTAGATGGAAGGTTTAGGCTATGCTTAACATACCAAATAACTCATTTTTTTTTAATTGATAAAAGCAAAAACTACTTCATCTCAATGCATTTTGTGTAATTAAATCAATTGCTTGACAAACACAGTAATGCAGGCACAATGGTCAGTGGTGCTTTGTTTACGAACTGTTGTTTAATTGAAATAACTCCACAATTGTTTCGTTGAAACATTGTTATAGATGTATGTGGAGAGTGAGAAAATCTATACAACGAACGCCACGTTTGCAGCTACAATACAATTACCAGTAGTCTCCACACGAGCACTTTCCATCTTCAAACCTATGGAATCTGTTATTGTCTCTCACAATAATTATTCTTCCGGTGCACTTTGACATAAACTTGATTGCAGTGTGACAATCGCCACATACACGCAAATTTTTCATAATCCGGATAGGCCTGTCAGGTGGGAAGCTGATCAATGCATAAGCAATCGCTAACCTCTCACTGTGATACCTAATTGTTTGTTTTTTGGTATCATCATCCACTTGTTGCAGTACAAAACTAGTGTCAGCAATGTAGCCAGCTCGCTCCAATTCGTCCCCTATTTCTTCCAATTTCTGATATATCTGCTGGGATTTCGGATGGCATCTGTCCCCTGCAGCAAATGTGTGAACCTTATTGCCTTCCTCAAGCCAACTTAAACCTGTTTCCTTCTTAATCCCTCTATCCCTTAACATCAGCCTAACTTTGGCTGCGTCTTGGAGTCTCCCAGCTGCTGCATAGGCATTACATAGCTGTACAAATAGGCCAGAACCCACATTTCCTAACTCAAAAACCTTGTCTGCAGCATATGCTGCTAATTCAGTGTTGCCGTGTAGTCGGCAGCCTGTCAATAAAGCACCCCAAACAGACTCAGTTGGTTCAATGGGCATCTCCTTGATAACTGTAAGCGCCTCCTGCAACTTTCCAGCACGGCCTAGCAAATCGACTAAGGTGGCATAATGCTGATGCCCTGGTTCAATGCCATACGTTTTCATCTGATGAAAGTAAAACTGGCCCTCCTTAACCAATCCTGCATGACTACAAGCATAAAGCAAAGACAAGAAGGTGATAAAGTTCGGCTTTGTTCCTTCACTTTCCATACTACGAAACAAATCTAACACCTTCGAAGAATGAGCGTGTTGAGCACAAGCAATCAACATAGAATTCCATAATCCAACATTCTTTGTCTTCACCTCATCGAATACACGATATGCCCCTTCTATGATCCCACACTTCGAGTACAACGAGATCAAACCACTCCCAACAAAACCCGACGAATCATAACTCTTCTTCAAGCACAAGCCATGAATTTGCTTCCCTAGTTCCAAAAGGGTTGAATTACCACAAACATGAACCGCACTCGAGAACGTAAAATCATTAACATCAACACCCTCAACTACAGCATCCTTAAACAACCTAAGTGCCTCCTCATTTTCACCCAATTGAGTATACCCAAAAATCATTCCAGTCCAAGAAACTACATTTCTCTCAGGCATTTTATCAAATACCTTCCGTGCATCCCAAATTTCTCCACATTTAGCATACATATCCACCATAGAACTCCCCACAAACACATCCTCCTCATACCCAGTCTTGATCACAACCCCATGAACCAATCTCCCCACATCAACCCTCCCCAAAATCGCGCACGACTTCATCGCACTCGGGTACGTATGATCATCCGGCCGAAACCCGGCTCCAACCATCCTGCAAAAGAACTCAAGAGCAACACAAGGGAGCTCATTCTGAGCAAAAGAAGATATAACAGAGCTCCAGGTAGTAGAAACCTTAAAAGGGGCTTCATCAAAAATTTGGCGGGAAAAGGCGGGAAATTGAGTTTTTGAATAAAAATTGATCAAATGGTGGGAAACAAGAGGGATGGATTGGAAGCCTAATTTGAGAATGTGGGCATGGATTTGGAGACCTTTCGGAAGCGCCCGAGAGCGAGTGAAGGAGAGAAGGAGGTCGCAGAGATGGCGGTAGTGTTGCTCGAAGTGTAATTGATTCGGGTTCTTGGGTAAAAATGGTGGTGAAGAGCAAGGTGGAAAGAGAGGTTTGAGCATTACTAGCTAAGTTCTCAAATGAATCTGATGTGGGGTTTTATGGTTTTCCTTGTTTATTTTCTCTAAGTTTTTGACTTTGGTCTGGTTTTGTGAAAATCACAAGTTTCTGTTGCTTTTTGTGATGTTTGCAAAGTATTCAAATATGTTGTGTTTGCGACAAATTCTCTTGCTTAAACTTTATAATTCTTTTTTATTTGGTTGACAAACAGAATTAGGAATAGTGCGTTGGATTTGGTTTTAATTTTTTGTCCAAACGATAGCCATTTTGTCCAAAAACGATTCTGACCAAACCAGACCTCAAAACGACGATTCAATCGTCCAAAATGAAGCCCTTGATGTCAGGGGTAAGCTGTCAAAATTTGACCACGATCCAACGGTGAAAACTCCGGCAACAACCAGTTTTGTATAGGCTGCTCAGAAAAATCTGAAGTTGGAAGCTCTTCACATGAACCCTCACTCTTTCTCTATTTTGTGTGTATGATATGCTCAACTACAATCTCCCTTACTTGGTCACTTGTTAGCTCCAAGATATCCCATCTAAAGCTTGTAAGAGAAGCCACAATAGTCATGTCAAATATGGACCAAAAGTAAGACTTAATATGTGCATAATACATGAGCCCAAAAACAATACTTCGTATATGAGTATTGCAAATGGTGCTGAAACCACAATGTTATCCATCGTATCGGGGCATTCGTTAACAAATCCTTTCAAAATTTGTAAATTCTACGGAAGTATAGAGTGCAAGGAGTACTTTGAAATCTGAACAAATAGTTGCTCCGTATTATGAAGTATTCCATATATTATAGCCACCGGACTTAACATTTTCTTCTTTCTTCAACCTTCCCCATCTTCCAATCTCCAGAACTTTCCCTCGCTGCTTTCAAATTCAGCACTATCAGCATAATTAGGGTTCCAAATTCTAACCTTTGATTTCTGCTGCCTGTTTATCAATGGAAGACGAACCAGTTTTAAGGCAATCAGAATCCAATTCAATGATCTCTTCAATGGTTGGTCGAGTAATGAACACGCTGCTTATCTCTCGACCGAAGAAACTTGAAGACGCCATTGTTAAACTCGGCAAAGCTCCAAAATCAACCTTTGCTGGTAATATTAATAGAATTTATTTATTTATTTCGTTTTATTTTTTCTGGAATTTTGTATGAAATTTGATGATTTGGTTGTTATTTTCTGTTGCAGTTACACTAGATGAATCTCTGCGCGTTTTGAACAAGTATGTGAGAGACGCTGTTGATGAAGAAAAGCGATTAGACGAAGTTCTTATTCCTATGATTGAAAATGTAATGCATTTTATATCTCCATAATTTAATGTTTGCATTTTAATTGTTCTTCAATTGATTGAAAATTGTGATTCGTGTTGCGGAATTGGTGTCATATGGATGGTAGAAAGTAATATGATTACTATAGTTATGAAAATAAAGATTGCTTTAGCAAATGTTAATTCAGATTGTTATGTTTGATTATAAAGCTGATGTTGCCTTGCTGCTAAGGGTTGCGTTTGGCGAGTTTAGGATTGGATTAGAAAAGAACGGGAAACATTGCAGAGAAGAGGCTAAGCAGTTTTAAAATGAAAATGATAGATTATTGCTGTGAGTGGAGATGTTTTGTCTCTGTATCTGTCAAATTTTGAATGCTAGGTGAGAGAAGAATATTGGAATATTGAGTTAGAAGATTATTAGAGTGTGACTAGTGTAAGTTGTTATGGAGTTGACCCTCGCACCGAATTTTAAGTGCTGGAATTTCGATTGACCGGCTTTCTCTATAGTCTACTTCACTAATGAAGTGCTCACTTGGTTTGTAAGGAGGTGGTTCTGCTGGTGCATTATAAATGACATATTTTAATGGTAGTCCTTAGGCTCCTCATTTTTTTTTGGGTTAGTTGCAATTTGCTGAGTCTGTGATCAATAACTGACCAATTATGAACTATGGTTTGTTGGTTCTGGTTGAGTGTACGTTTCGTACTTTTGTGTTTGTTCCAGTAACAAACTTGTTCCAAAAATTTAAGCTTTTACACATATGTTTTGGGCTTTAGAAATGTTTCTTTGATTCATCTTTACCCTATTTTACGTGCAGCTTTTGAGGTGCAAGGAGTCGAAGCATCCCAATCAGACAATGATTCTCATGAACTGGCTCTTTCAAGATGAAGCTCTTTTTTTGCCACTTGCAAAGGATCTTGTCAATATTATATCAAGGAGAAAAGATCGATATATTGCACTTGGTTGGTGCAAGCTTGTACGCTCGCTTCTAATGTATGATACAAAAATGACAAGCTTTTCAAAGAATGGTTAGTCTTTTTTACATAAAAAAGTGTTATTAGTTTATGCCAGCTTACCGAGTGAATTGAATCATTAAATTTATACTTTTATAGTAGAGATGTTGAGTTGTATGTTAACTTACTTTTGATGACAATAGCGCTGCATATCCTAGATCCTATATCTATTATGTGCTAATTAAAATGTTAATATTCACTCCCTCCTTTCCATAATAATTGACGCAAATTGACTTTTTTTAATATTCATATTCCAACTTTAACTATAGCTTTTTGTAATGTATGAAAATCAATTAGTTGAGACATTTAGACTACATTCCCCAATTTGTCATTCTTCTCTGCCTTTATGTCATTCTCACAGAGGAGTTGGAGAGAAAGGCAGGGGAGCTGATGCATTCTTGGCCCATCAAAGAACTATATTTAAGTGTGACTTTGCATCTTTTCATAATTGTCTTTATGGTGTTTAATGTAATTTTCTATTGGCTATAGTTAGGGTTGTTAAAAAGCTGGATAGTGGACTTAGGCTTTATATGAAGAGTATTAGCCTTTTTGACTTACACTTAATATAAAATAGATGAGCTCCTACTCAACCGAGATTTATGTTGGCTTGTTTAGGTATTTTTTTTAAGCTTAGCTCACGAGTAGCTCGTTTAATTCGAGATAGAGCTTGAGCCAAACTACAATAATATATACAAGCTTTTAATAAATGAGCCTTGGTAAACGAATAAGATCAAATTTAAACGGGCATTTATAATCAAATTTTAATGGGCTTGTTTATTATAGGTTAGCTAATTGGAAAATTAATACCACATCCATTTCACAATAGAGCATTGATTTGACTTTTGTATTATATTGTGAAACCGATGAAAATTGAAATGTAATTTATGCGCTTAAAATCCTTCTCATTCTTCTATGCACGTAAAATCCTTCTCATCCTTCTTACTATTAAAAAGTTTCTTAAAATGAGAAGGATTTTATTTTCAACTTTTTTTTACTAACCGTGCAAAAAAAAAAATTTGACTCAAATTCAATGTGCATAAATTTTGAAAAAAAATTAATAACCTGTAAGCCAATTTTGTACATTTGATGTTAAAAAAAAGTATAATCAGTGAAAAACTTTACACATGTATCCATCTCATCCTTTTTAAGAAACTTCTCATTACTATAGTCAAAGTTAATAAATGAATATTGCAAAACTCTAAACGTTGCATCTATTTTGAATCGGAGGTATTATGTAGTAGGATTTGTATATTGCTTTACTTTAATTAATCAATAATTAATTTATGTTCTCCATCCCAGGTTTCAAATCTAACCATCAAGCTTTATTGAAGATCCTTTCATCGAGTATTGGACATCTTTCAGTAATGGTAAAAAACGGTAGGTATGTTGTTCACCATTGCATATTGTGGATCAAGGGTGCGTTCTATTCACCTAATTTTTTACTTATTTGAACTTAACTTTATCTGTACTCATCTGATCTTATCTGAACTTGTTAGCCCTTAAATGAACTTATTTTAGTTATAAATTAAACTTGGGTAGTCCTAATTAACCCTTATCACAACTTATCTGATTATTTTTCCTGAACTTATCTTATCACAGAACTTATTAACCCTTATCTGAACTTATTAACTCTTATATGAACTTATTAACCTGAAATAAGTGCAAATAAGGTGAACAAAACATGGCCTAAATGTACTGCTGGTGTCATAATTTACATATCAGTTTTCATTGATAAATGGAGAGTCCATATCTCTCAGCATAGATTTGTGTAGCCTTAGCCGATGAGGGGTATGCACTTAACGTGGTCTAGGCGAGGCGTTTTTGGTTAGGCGCACAAAAAGTACACAAAGTGCACCAAAAGCGCACGAGGCGCCACCTGAACCAAACTTCAGCCTAATTTTTTTTAACTGGCTTTATATTGCGCCCACTTTAAAAGAAGCGCATTGAGCTTATAGTGCCTCATTTTATGTGTGGACTTATAGTACCTAATTTTTTAACTGTCCTTATAGTGCCTCATTTTGTATGTGGACTGCCAAGAGCTTTCCAAAGTTAAGGGATGACACTTAACCTCCCTTGCTAACTAAAGTTCCATTAAACTGTAGTCCTTCGAATTTGACGGTGTTAGTTGTTTTAATCTTTAAGTAAAACAATAGTGTTTTTTGTATACATATTGTGTCACTAAACTATACCACCTTTAGTGTGTTGCAGGATGGTTTTGAACTGCCAACTCGGCTTTCAGCAGCTGCTGCAGATTGTATATTAGTTCTCACTGAAGCATTGACACAAAAACTATTGGAGTCTGGCAATTTAAATGAAAAAGGAGCATTTAAACCTAATAGGCCAATCAGCATTTTTGAAGAGAAGCAGATAGAACAAAAGAATATGTCTTTTGAAGCCTCCATCAGCATTGATGGAAGATTGTTGCTCTGGCAGAATTTGGATCAACTCATTGTTCTTGTTCAGAAACTTCAGTCAGTATGTTTACAACTCAGCCTTGTATTCTTCTTACGAAATTTCTCTCAGTTTGAAGAAATTGGTAATACTGCAATCAACAAGATTGATTGAAATAATTGTATAAGTAATATTGGGTGCTAATCTTGTGGACGAAGCACAATTGCAGTGTCTAAAGGCCTCATATCTTTTGTTCATTCCTTGCCAACACTATCTTATATGGCTAACTATGATGCCTTTTTGTAAAAGGAATGGGGCATCCATAGAGAAGAGGGAGGTTGGGAATATGCCAGGGTGGAAAAGGGAGGATAGTGGGTTCTTTGACTATTTATGATGATGTGAGTTGTGAATAGATTCAAGCTCACAATTGAGATTTATCAAAGAATTAAGAAGAGTTAAGAAGAATGATCGAGTCTTTTATTATAAGGCAAAAGATTTATTGTAACGGTAGCTTTAGGCTGCCATTCTCCAAATAGT